CTTCAAAAAGACATAATTCTTCTACAGCGAATATATCATCGAGCCACGAAGCCGGTAACTGGATTGCAAAATAAACCATACGAAGACAGGATTGCCAGTCTCAACCTATTTGACTTCTACTATCGGCGCATCAGGGGAGACCTTATTCTAACATATAATATACTGAAGACACCTAACCATCCGCTGGAAGATCTTTTTGTCCGACGTCGACCACGAACGGGCAGGAGGCATGACTTTTCGTTCGCGGTACCTCACTCGAGGGTGAACTGTCGACGGAACGTTTTTGCGGTCCGTGTATGTTTCATTTGGAACTTCCTACCTCCCAATGTTGTACATTCGCCGAGTTTAACCATTTTCAAGAACAATTTAGATGCATATCTTATGTCCAAACCGAATCTGGAACTGTTTAACTCCATGTGATACTCATGTGATACGCATATTTTCGCGTCCCTTTGTATATATACGTTCACCCTATGGTCGTTGTAAAGTCAACTGCTTTTTAGACCATTAAACCTTGAATTACCTTGAAGTGAATCACCACACCACAACGTCTGATTGAGTTTAACTCAATAGACCACAGATGAGTACCAGAAGAATTAACGATTTTAGGTTCGTATTTCCTGTATCAGGATGAATTCCGCATAACTCAATCTCCATACATAAAATACTGAACCTAGAGTTGATAGTAGTGAAACTCAAATTGTAATTAGCAACTAAATACTCCCATCCGATGCTGTATATCAACCGTCCACAAGAAAAGTTAATTTAATTAAACCCAAAATATGCCTTCTGAGCACTTTCACCGATATGGCTTTCTAGAACAAGGTGAAAATTCCAGAATTTATCCCAGGACTTTCCACTCCTGTCTTCTATAATCCTTTTACCATGCCGCCATACCAATACTCACGTCATCTCATTCCAGTGCCCTACAACAAAATGATCCAATCAGATGCGCTTTGCCACTGTCACCAAACGGACTAAGCTGTAGTGGGCTCTGGGGCATTTTTGGTTGTTGATACTCTGAGGAACAGCTTGCGTAAAATTTAGCACTACAGTCTAACAATGGTGAGCCTTTTGGAAAACGAAGTTCGCCTGTCGGATCAGTGTGACGGAACCGTTCATAAACAGTTTATGACCGAACGGCGTTTATTGTCTTGTGTTTCATGATGGGACATCCGAGTACTACAAAAATAAACAAGTGTACGAGAAGACATTCGCCTGAGTGGTGCTTCAGATTAGTACACGCTGATGTGAGGTTGGTTAGGATCTTTTAGTTCTACACTTAATAGGGAAATCTACTTGCTCTATATGGTTATGAGACTTGTAAAATTCACGTTTATACCGCTTATCTGACACGGCCCCCCTCTTGACCAGGCTCAAAGAGGGCGAAGATTGATTGAAGTTGCCCTGATCAGACTGATATGAATCCAAAATCTATCGGATCGTACAAAATCTCTTAATAAGACTCAGAAAACTTTCACCGGTCCATTCAAACTGCAAGCACACCAGAAACACTTCAAGTTTATCTTGATTGAGTGTGCAGTACAACCAGTACAACCTTTGGCACGCGGGTCCCTTAACTGACTACAGAAGGCTTAGAAACCAATCACCAAGCTCGACGAACACATCAACGGGCATCTGACTAGCAACCAGTAAATGAATCAGAGTCCCAATATTCCAACGGTGTCAGGCAAACATACCTGGAAATAATAGCACTGTGGACCTGAGACTTACCTAAGCCCATCCATGGCTGAATTTAGGTCCTGCATTCTTTGTCGCTCACGGCGATTTATTGTAAGGCGAAGGTCTTGGACTTCCCGTTCAGTAACGTCGATATCTTCTGAGCCCGTTCTATGTACATCCTGGTTCTGCACGAGCATGCGTTTTCGCCTACGTTGCTTCATAACTTTGGCTAGGAGACGGTGATTAGGCTGATTTGGCGACCTGTTGCAAACTGCATCGTTTTGGTTGGAAGGTGTTTGGTCTCTCGTGTCGGCGCTAGATTCAGTAGAATACGGACTTGCCACGTACAACATATCAAAAAGCACACGGGAGTTTTCATTGTCCGCTTTTATTTGCTCGCAGGATTAGACGGAAGCTAGGTCAGTAGCCAATCAGGTTTCCGCTAGTTTGGTTCATTTCTCTGATTGGTTGCGGTCGGATAGGGAGCTGCATAAGGCACGCCCATTAGATTATTCGTTAGCTCGTGGGAAGGGGGTGTACACAACATCCTGAAAACAAGTCAGTCAGTTGTATCAAACTGGGCTTACACAACTTCCACGTTATTTCTAGAGTGATCGGGCAGTTAGCGTTTTGAGTTAACTTGAACTATGCCTTTCGGAGTCCTTGTCTGAAGTACGTTTTCCGAGTGATGAGATTTATAAACGGCAACAACTCACACATTACAATTTAATACCAGAAGAGCTTGTCTGCAGAGGTAAGAGAATTAGGGATGACAAAAGACAGACAACAGGTTCGCCAATTTTCTGTAAGCCTGGATGCATCATAGATATACTACAAACGAGTACAAGTGAAATAATGACCGTCATTTGAGGCAAGAGCTTTCGCAAAACAACTTTCCCATGGTGTTCTGTCCGGATACAATGTCTGAACTTGTTTGGCGAATGGCTAGGCACATGGCTTACGTGACGCGGTCGCACCTGAATTCACGAAACCGGATGCGGCTAACTGTGAAACTTGTGGATTTAAGAAGTCTTTTCCCACCCGAAGCAAGGCTTAAATTTGGGACGAAGAAACGATCATGACAAGGAAGTCTGGCAGACAGACGGGCGCTAGTTTTCTGGCATCATTTTGTCGGGTGAGGTATAAATTGTCAATCTAGGCAAGCTCTGACGCATTCCTTCTCAGATGGTCCTATATGATTTCATGCATTGAAATTGTAGCCTTGAATCATTACCAGTACGATATAAGGAAGGAATAAAATCCAATCTCCTGTCGGAGGCTATATATGGCCGCTTATTCGACCAAATAAGACAAAACTTGGTAGGTAACTCTGTCCTTTTTGTATGGTCAAAAAATAATTTGTTGATCTTACAGTGTAAATGCACTGAGCGATAACTAGCGAACCTTTAGTTTATGTCTGCTTGACAAGCCTGATTTACAATCCCAGAAACACTACTTGAGTAAAATTGTGATGAACTAGACAATGCGAAAAATATGTACTTTAGGCTGCTGAGAGACGCGAACAAATTCGCTGAAGTATACGTAAAAACTAATTGTTTGCTCGAATGTTAATCCAGCGGGCCATATAAACCCCAGTATTCCATATGCTTTTTTGGACTTAGTATTCCTGACTCATTAATCTGAGTGACCACTCATAAACGCAGCTGTCTATGATGACAGCGTTCACGAGATACAGGCGTTTCGAATGTTGAACACTTGCTGCTGCTCCGGCAAACCGACTGCAAATAAAATGTCCAGAGTAGCTAATTCGGTATTTTCTTTTCTCATATGGTGTATCCCAAGTAGAAAACCCTCGCCAAGAACATGGAATAAATTGACGGATGGGAGGTGAACCTGTAAGATTCCCGACTCCATCAGACACATTTCCACATTGGCTGGTATAGAGGACGGAAGAAAACATACCGGGTAACCTGTAGAAAAACAATTACCTGATCTAACCAGACACCCCTAGTGTGTCGTTGCCGAACCCACGTGTGCTATAAAACCCATCATTGGTATCCCAAAACGACAGATGGAACTATTACAAGCAATTTACTTTGCAGATCGGTCATTGATGCTAAAGTCAACTGGTGGCGACTAGAGTACGCGTGAACAAAAGCCCTCGGGGTTCACGAATCCAGAATGGGTGTAGTCAGTGTGCACCAAGGCGTGAAAACAACAGAGACGAGAAATCGGGACGGGTTTTTGACCGAATACTTCCAATAGATTAATTAAATCCCTTATGTTGGTCGCCGCTGGGTGCAGATACATTAGAGATACATCTGTTCGAAGATAGAGGAACATGTGGTATTACATTGAAAACACGCCTTGCATAAATTGTTGTGTTTGGGGCTGCTGGAAGAAAGCCAATGAGAAGACGAGACGAAAATAGGAGGGGTGGGGGAAGAGTGGTCTTCAAAACCAAACCCACTGAGACAATGGATCCGATTTCTTTCAAGCTGTCGTGTTTGATTTTTCAGGTGACTTCTGCCTTGATACTGGACTTTACATGTGTAAATTTCAAGCGGTGATCAAACGGAATATATGGCTCAAAGGCTGTTGCAAACTTTGTTCGGATGAGTGAATAGTGACAGTACAATCTATTACAATCCATGAACAACACAAATTGTTTTACACTGATTGGAGAAACCAATCAGTCAAGTTTAATCAGAGACGTTGAGACATTCATTCTTCCTAGTCTCAACAGGAACTGAAGCGTGACATGGAGATAACATGAGGCTTGGTCTGGTCCAGAGGACGATGAATGCTTGATCCTAAGAAAGTCTGAAATACACAAAGTGGTGCGCGACGATGAGAAATAAGTATCCCCCTCCGGGAAACCGTACCCCAAATAGAAGAAAAATTGCGCAATGAGTGTAGGAACTTCAACCAACCAACCAACAGTAACAGCTCAGGTGCAGAATTTTCCAATACGTTTATCCTATCAGTTAGGGAGAATTTCCGTTCATGACGTACCAGAAGAATCGACATATTAGATGTTTTTGGCTGCCGGATAAAACGCCATCAACATGACTCCAGACTCTTTCTCAATGAACATGTGAATTGTCAAGATCGCATGTAATTTCCATTGATCGGCCATCAGGCAAACTTGTACTGCTGATACCTTTAGATAAGGGGAGTACCCATATACGTTAATGCCAAGTTCCACAGAAAGTGGACAGCGAGTCACGCATTAAACGTTGCACACAAAAGGCCTAAATGCGTCCGCACGTGACGGGTTGTGTAGTCGGTGGTTTGGTGAAGTAAAATACCGGGATTGGTGAGCAACCGAATGCTTGTGGAGTAAAATCAATCCATAGGGGACTACATCAGTTTTGGGGGGTAAATTGGACGCTGAATCAGCATAATAACTCAACCAGTTGAACGCAATGAACATAAATACCATGAAATCAAATGGATGCTTTGGGAATTTGAGATGATTGGATCGGCCTTAACGACTATGACACCTGCTCATTAATTTTTGCATGCAAATGATGAATTGGTAGAAAAACCACGAGTGAAGCCATGAGGTGAAATTAATTCCCCACAGTTACCACAAGACCGATGCAAGTCACAAATTCTGGTTATGGAAAAAATTTAAAAGGTAGCCTTGTTCATGTTTTCTTGACGGAGCATGCTACCGATGAAAATACATGTACAGGTGATTCGAACATGCTGAGAAAATTCAATTGTTAGTTTCCAAATATTTAGCCCAGGGGCTGTCCGGAGAGACTTCGGGAGGAACGATCCATGTGGCTGGAAGCTGGCTATCCTCTTCCGACTTTTCAGATATCGAAGATTCGATGTCTGATTGTGTTTTATCTCCAGCGTCTGGGACGAGATAGGCATCCCAAGCAAACCTAAAACAGAACACATACGAAATATGATACGCAGTGATTAAATTTGTCCTTAATTACAATAATAGATAAAGGAACATACAACTCCAGAATATTGAATGAAACCGTATCTCGAAAGAGAGTCAACCGCAGCGTATCGCAACGGGATCTGATGGCATAGCCAGGCATCTCTCGTAACCTCAACTTTTGGAGGTCAAAGTATATCAGGAACAGAAAAAGTGGTTCAGGTGGGACCTCAGCGCGGTCGTCAGTATATCGCACCGTAGCATGTGTGATTCACCAGAAATAAAGCCTTTTTGGATTGTACCGCCAGCAAAATTAGTGGTTGGCTCCTCGCCGCATTTAAATTATGAAAACAATTACTTTTCGACTCAAGATGAACCAAATTAGTTGAAAAAAACAGCTCGGTTAGCGAGATCTTGCATTGGACTACACGCATCAACAGCATTCTTGACCACATCAGCATGGCGAAGGGGGACAAGGTAGCAACTATTTTCCGTCAACATCACTAACATGATGGGTGAGGCCTACGAGTGTGTATGCACAGCAACGCGCGCGAATGTTATGCGTAAAATGAAGAAAGTCGAGAAACAAATCAGCCATATGGGTTGTTTTAATTCACGTGAAATTCTCACCCAACAGCCCTGCGACTTGTATGCAAAGTTAAGCAAAAGGAAATCGCACAACACATACTTACCGGATCCGTAGAAAATCCGTGAAATCGAAATCGGCTTGATGGTAAAAGCGTTTACACTTCCATGGTAGCTCTAGGGAAGAAAGCTCAAGTTAATGAGCAAACAAATTGCACGATAACCCAATGTTCACCCGATAAAATTAATTATTTCACATTTGGCAGCATTGCAACCGATCGCAGAAAATTAACAGGAAGCTAACGCTATGTGTTGACAGGTAGTAGAGCTGAGTGGGAACAAATCAAATATGCGAGATGCGCAATCGCGAGGCATAGCACACAAGCAATTGAAAGCGACCAGCCGCAAGCACACACGCTCTCAATTGTGGGGACAAGTACTTGACCTAAGGTGAGAGCATACTGCTTACGTGGATTCATAGAATTAGCACGCAAAGTGAACTGACTGGATTTTTTTGATGGTGACAGCATTTGAATGCCTTTGAAAATTACGTCCCCTAAAAAGTATGCTCCATTTATGATTGCTCGGTCGTCCGTTAAAACATCATAAAAGGGGGATGAGTGTCATCAAATGGATTTTTAATGCAACAAGTGCTGGGATTCGAAGTATGAAACTATGAACGTGCTCTTTAACCGGCGCACTAGAGTGAGTGGATAGAAATCATGATTAGTCTGTTTCTTTAAGGATAGTGAAAGAGGAAAAGAGGAAGCCGAGCTACTATGAGTTTAGCAAAGTCAGAGCAAAAAAACTTTAAAAAGTATCCGGAAATCGACAGACAATTTGAAGCTATCCGACAGAATTTGTTTGTCCTCGAAAGCTCGTGCGTACGAATACCTTGTTTGGTAAAGTTGTTTTGTTCTGAGGCTTGAAGAAGGGCGTGCGCCGAAAGAGTGATATTCAGGTGCACGCGACCTAGATTTGGCCGTGGCTAAACTTTGCCGAGGTCCGGCTTTTTGTAAGGTGGCTGACGTATAGCATCCAAAACGGTTGGCGAATAACTCATCAAGCTGCATGTCGGTAACACAGCCAACGATAGTCTTGAAAAGGAGTCCGAAAAAGCACAATGGCCGTCCTTTTCAGTTAATGAGGTGCGTGGTTGATTGTATGAGCGCCGATCACTTGTAACCGACTAATTAGCCAAACGAAAGTGATTTTTGAAGAGGATGACGCATCAATCATATAGCTGGTAACGGCTTGGTGTATGAAGTAGAAAACAAACTCTTAATTTTACAAGATATTCGAAGCTAACTGTTTCCACCAAGCTTTACTTCACAACAAACAAATCCATTTCAACACGAATGACTTGATGCGCAGCAGGGGAGCACGACTTTTAAGATTTAAAGCACCAACCAGAAGATAAAATTCGGACTCATTTTGTCCTGCGCACTAGTTGCAGCTCGACATAGCTCAGGCGGGAACTTACTGACAAGAGGTCCGTGGTTCGAACCTAACCCAGACTGCTCCTGAGTATACTTCGGCAACCTGACAGTATCTCATCCCTCGTGTTTCCTTTGGATGACATCTCAGCTAGGCACAGAAAGGGTGCTACAGCAGAACCACTATTATTAATGGTTTATCTTAGTACACTAGTTGACTGTTTTCAGACAGCACGCGATGACGTCGACCATGTCAGCCAAGCGAGGAATTAGTATTGGTGGAGGTGAAGCAAACGTGGTGAACTGATGTGTTATTTCAGAAAGTGTATCCTTGCGATTAGGGCTTTATTCCTAATATAACTGAGCGCCTACAATCCGCGCAGTCAATATTCAGTGAGTGTGGAATGATATAATTCAGTGATGGGAGGAATCTTCTAGAATGAACTTGCAGGGTCTTGAGAATGAAAACAATGCTGAACAAAATTTCGTTGGTTTATTGTTCAAACAATAATTAGGACATCTCGCAAAGTTTTATGCCTTTGGTTTCCTAGAGTGGATCTCATTAATTACAAGTATTCGTCCCGAGCTATAATAAGCGAGACGTAAGTGCCAGACTGACTTCGTACCAAACTCGGAAGTGCGTTGCATAAATTCACACAAGGGTATGAAAAAGTGCATGATCAAAAGTAACGGGAGCTGCACGCCAAAAACATCCGGTCGCATAAAGTGCTGAATGAAAGATAATGGACAGAAGAATAAAACATCCATGGAGGGATTACTAGGACTTAGCGATATTGTTTGTCATTTCTGCTTGTAGTTGGAGGCGCAAAGGTTGTCGGATTTGTCAGACGGGATCCAGAAAAGGTAATAGTTGGAAACTATTTTTCACTGAGGAACACCGAATAAGTAATGCTGAGATAAGTCTAAATATTTTCAAAGAAAAGAACCTACAGTATCCCATTGACTGTACTATTCTAACCATTTATTTCCAATATTGGAGGAGCGCTTAGCGTAGGTTTGGAACGGTCTACGTAAGTCCAGATGAGAAACTGATAGCGAATAACTGTAACAGGAGTCTCTTCTATCGCTCCAGATGGATACCCGGGGATGGATGGTTTCGGTGATTCGAGACGCTGTATTCGAGCTACTGCCTTCAATACACGCATTAATAATATTGCGTGCCTATAACCAATGTAGAAATACGACTGGAGTTGCGCTACGGTATTCTGAACTTTCGCATTCAGCCCGCAGCTGTCCGCTTCCAATCGGTTGTTCTTCAAGAGAAAACGTGTGGCAACTGGAACAGTGTATGGCTGGTTCACGGACTATGAATGATGAAGATTACAAGCTTGGATAAGCTGTCAACTATTAGTAGTGTGTTAAATGGACCATTTTCTCCACCGGTCGGAAAGCAAAATCGGTAATCTCAGACTAGTCTTGCGAATGAATGATACCAAAACCCGACCGAACGCTGAAACAGTCCAGAGAACCAAGGAACTCGACCATGTCTCAGAGAGTTCTGCGTTGAAGAAAAGAGTGATTGATTGTGAGACTTCTGACCCTATTCCCTGTGTCTATACTCAGATAACTTGGATAACCTGTCAGTACCTCAACACTAAAGGTCTGGATGGTAGTTTTTCTCTCGAAATGATTTCACAGCTGAAATGGAAGAAACTGATTAGATAAAAAGGCATCCTGTTAGGTCGGGAGGCTAAAGCCAAGAGCGAGAAAGTAAAAGGATATCGACGGAAGACACAAGAAGATATCACTTCCAAGATCACGGCAAATTCAATAAGGGTACCCCAATCGAGAAAAACAGTCGAAAAACATACCGCGCTGTTCTAAGCCAGCACAAAACAGGAGGCGCTTTTTCCAGTCCAGTAAACCAGGAAAATGGTTACAGCAACTCTCATGACCACTTGTCGAGTCGACACCCGGTGGTTTCATAGGTTCGTTTGTTTTGGATACTGAAGGCTGAGAAATGGGAATCAAACGAAGAACATCGCTTTCTGTAACTGCTGTCCGCGTCAATCAATATAAACAGTCAGAAGCCTGAACCTTCATGTAAATAAACAAGGGCGCTAGTTGGTTCTGAGTGTCGAACGTTTTGGAAAGTACCCACTACTGAAGGCTTGAAATGTGGTCCTTTTTGTAACAAGTTTCCATGGAATTCAACAGTCTGGCTGTGTTTGGCATTCATCGTCATTAGAAAATAGCCCCTTTCACTTCGTAGAAACACTAAAACACCTTGTTTTTCGCTAAAGTCGACAGGGATAGGAGACGGGATACACTGAATACAGTCTGATCGTAGTATGTATGGCAGCGAAGAAACAACCACGGTCTTAAGCAGAAGAAAAAAGTTTATCTTTGGGCACTTACCATTTTCCGAATATCAATGGCGTTCTGAAGCATACTGACATGGGTCCTGATTGAAGTACGCAACTCCCCCAACTGAGCAGTGAAAGCCAAATCAAGTGCCTCAGGATAGAGCCCACCTTTAAACAGACAAGTCGAGAATTGTGTTGTAGTCTTTGTGGATTTCTGAAGTATACAACACCAGAAAGTGTCTGCAGTCACGATTCAAATATCCTAAATAAGTGCGGGTAAATGACAGTGCTGATCGGCGACTTGTGGCCAAGCGGTATGATGTTCAGCTACTGACCGGAAGGTTGCGGTTTCGAAACACTCTAGAAGCTCGTGGGATGCGTACTTTTAACAATTCTTAACAAAGATGAAAAAGCACGACGGCGCCTTTTGGTCGTTTAGCATAGACAGAATAAAATTGCATTGGAAATAGGGCTACAGAGGCGTGGCTTGTGGAGACTATGCGATCAATCTTGAGAGACACATACGACATACCTTGCTGACGAGCCTGATTTAACCGAGCAGCCCGTAGCCTTTGTAGTCCATCCAAAAGAGACAACAGCTCAGTACACTGAGTGACCGCATAGCTCAAACGAGGTGTGTGATGTTCAGGGCACTGTTTCGGTTGAGTGGGCGGACAGGATTCGGAACAGGGGCGTTCGGAATTTTTGGTTTCGCTGAAATCGCAGGGATGATTGTCATCCTTTAACATGTGACCGATTAAATCGTAGCATTTCAACACACTATTAGTGATAATAAACCAGAATGTAATCCGATGCTACTACAACCCTAGCACGCAGTGTGTCCAAGCAAAATATATCAACCTGAAAGACAAACGTTGAAGAGGAGTGGATTAACTGTGATTGGACTCAACGTTTTGACAGTATAAAAAACATTTTGAATTTTATTAACATGTTCTCAGGTAGATGCCAACACCATACTGGATTGCTCAAGTTCTTCGAGTACCAACAATGCTGGTATCTGCGTTATGCTACTTGGTGGCTAATTAAGAGACTAGTGAGAAATTCAAAACTAGCCTAAAAACTGGCAGAAGTGGGTAAGACTGTAGTCACTGAGTCAATCACTTCTGTGTCCGTCGCTCACACCTGTTCTTGATCAGAGCCTTCGGAAAAATACGGAGAGTTAGGAGAGGTGAGGTTTCGTGTTGCAAGTAAAGCCAATCTAGATTCGCATCTCCTTGGAGTTTCGTGAGATGCACACTGCTGTTGATTCTAAATAAGGATGAAAAAGCTAAAGAATGTTTCTCAGCTTTTCATCATCCCGATTAAACATAGGGAAAACCGGAGAACTGAAAAAGTGGGCACCACAAGCTGGTGGAACCACGAACAAGAGAAATATGGCTGCAGAAGAACTAGCTGAATCAGGGGTATTCGCAAGAATAAATAAGGGGACGGGAAGATTCCTATTCATGAACCGTAGGGCGAGTGAAACATATCTTGTTCTCCTCTACCATATAAATTGTGCCTACAGAATCTTTGAGAAACTGGAAACCAGTAGTCCGATTTCCAAACTTTCCTAAGACCCGGGTAGTCGGAAGGGAGATCCATTGGGGGACCCGTAATATGAAGGACATACTCACCACTCGGCTGTCTTCCCGGGTGAATATGCAAATGAGTTGTTTTGTAACATTTCTGTTTAACATACAGAACGAATCGCCAAATGAAGTTCAGATTCTTATTACAACATACAGGCAGTGCCGTAGGCTCCATAGACGTATGACCTACGTCCAAAGAAAGAAACTCACAACCATGAATGAGTACTATCGAAGTGAGTGGACGTGCGCCGGAAAATACCCAGAATGATGACATACATGAGAGGAATAGCATGGCTGTGATGAAGCAAGCTCATGTTACTCGCGGGGAGTGTGAAGTGTCAACCATCTTCGGCAGCCCGGGTGCCCGTGAGATGCCAAAGAATGAAACGATGGTACTTTCTCTCGAAAAAGCTACGCGAATCCGTTCATACCACAGAGATGGTTATATAAAGCGGGACGAATAGCATGACACTTGCGAGTGCCGTCGCATGGAGTGACCTTAGATATAGGGAGCTTTGTAATGAAATGGGGCGAGTTCTTCACTTAGCCCATGCGACGGATTAGTTATGAAGATTCAACTACAGTCCGTTGATGTGTTTTAGTGTTAATCCCGCGGAAAGCTGTAGAAAGTGAAACACACGAGAGACGAGGGTTGAGGATGAGAAATTGCGAAGCTCTGCTAGAACAAATAATAGTTTGAACTGAGTGTTCACTCAGGTGTCTTGGTATTGGTGAATGCCACATGGGCGCATGTTCTAACACCTTTTAAAGACTATTTATTCATGTGGGGAGCTCACTGTTAGAAGATGTTTGCAATTTGGTAACCTTAATTGTTTTCGGGTTAAGGGAGTATAACCGGGAAGATATACGCTTGCAAAAAGGGGATTGCACCGAACAACTGAGACAAAAATCCACTGGACTTCTAGTTGAGAGTTAGTTTCCAGCTCAATGTTTCCCTATCGAATTCTCATTCGAATGAGTTGCCACCTTTCACGCCCCTCTGTAAGTAACTCAATCGACTTATGTAAAAGTTTAGCTGAAAGGTAAAAAAAAATAGACGATTGTGCGAATATTGGATGAATAGTATTTGTCAGCTGTGGTGGTCTTTACAGGACTGACCATTCCAACTTTGATAATTCCCAAATTTTCACAGTCCATAGGAAGACATTAATGCCCGCCACACTTTTGAGGACGGGATCTGAAGATATACAACGGATAGGCGTGGTCAGGGCTCAATAGACCCTGCCTCCAAAACGGTCATGATACTATCGCACTACGGTGTGCGGACATATGTTCCCGTCGAATATATACGAGGTAAGGTTGGGTGGTATAATGAGGGCAAAACCAACACGCTTGACTGAAGTATTCATCTGCGTGCTTCCCAACAATAAATCAGTGTTAACTACTCTTTCCTACATTGCAGTCGAACTGTCATCTCTTTACACAATGGTTGCCCAAAAGTACACAACGCTCCTTTGCAGAAAATTGAGTGAGCCTTACTGGAAAATTGAAACAAACATCTATTGTTTTGTTCGCCACGGAAGAACCAAAAAACTTATAAGAATATGAGAAGCCGAATGGAAACAATCAGCTGATGCGCTAAACCAAGCAAATTTCATGTGAGCCGTTCACGCGATCACTGGAACTGACGAAAATAAGGTGGTGTGGACCATTGGCGACTTGTGTCACCTGACCAGCGAGTAGTGATGGAAGCGTTTTTAGTTTAAAGTGGGTGTAGGAACGACCGCTAGAACCGTACTGGATAATGGCTACGGGTGAGCGTATTATTTGAAACAAGTGCGCACGGAACTCATCTTCAGTTATGCATCCGGACCTAGCGTCCAAGCTGTGGAGACGGAGACGATGAGATCTTGACATAACTATCGATCACTTGAGTGGCAACAGTGGCCCGGACACTGCTGAGAAGGAGATATGTGATTTTACTACCTTATTGAACGTGGAACATCTGTGGATAAGTCGCTGGCCTGCAAACTACAGGATAATCTGTGTCGGCGCCAAAGCACACTAGCCAGAGCCGACACCACCAGGACAGAGCTAAGAAAAGAAGGCCACACACGGAACTCCTCTGAAAAATATAGCAATAACGCTATCGAGGCCTTCTCTAGATAAATTACTTTACGTGTGTTCCTGACGACTGATCTCGTAGTGAATCCGGTGAGCCATGTTCTTCAGAACGCAACCGCGTAACCGTTTCCGCGACAGCTGACCGACAGACAACGAACTCCTGCGCTGACTCAGACGCCATCCTTCTCCGGCGCTTCTGATTGCGCTAAAAAAACATACAATGAGGCCAGTGACATACATGCATCTGTCAGGAGTGCAGATAATAAGAATGTTTAATGGGCGGAAGAGACGTGGAAGGAAGCTACGGTAGAAACTTCACTCGTTAACATAAATTACCTTTATTTATAACTCGCTATGCTCTTAAGAATGTTCACTTACATAGCTGACAACTCTCCGCACATGATTACTTCCCCCTTGCTATCTACAGGTTAGTCGTGGGGTTTCCTACGAAATAAACTGGAGTTACAAGTTTCTTCTCACGACGGGTAATTATCATACGTTTGAGTGAAAAGTGGGCATCTGATCAAAACAGCCAACTGAAACACAACGATTCACAAGAGAGGCAGATAAGCAAATTTAATTATGGAGCCGGGTGGCTGAATAGACGGTTGTTCACTCGGTTCGTCAAATATAATCATTTACATAGTGTTTTGATTCGAGATTAAAACGCGATGCAAGCTCCAATGTCCACTGTGTACAATCTCTGGGTTGAAAATTCTTCTTCATTAGACCGTTGTAATGTGCTTCTTAGCAGGTGTTCATGTTGCGTTTTGGAAGTTAATCTCCACCCAGCGTCCGCGTGTCGTCAAACCTAATCTATACTTTCGGAGACTGTCGCCAAGCTCGTGTTAGATGTGTTTGTACCATTGTAATCCTAGCACCAGGTGTTCATCAGCTTCAGTTCAGACCAAGGTTGCTCAGAAACTATCAAATAATGGAAGTGTAGCAACGATACAGAGGAGGAATTGAAAACCATCTTCACCACGATTGATTTCGCAAGAGCTACACTAAAATATATTGTTCATTTCAGAGAGCACCGTGGTCTATTTATTACAGGATGGGATATTTTTGCAGCGGGCGAAAATGAAAGTGAAACTCTAAGGTATCATTAGAAAAAAAGTAGGTGGGAAAAGAACAAACTTTGCCATCACACTCAAATGAGTACTTCGAAAACGGATGAAAAGGGAATCAGCTGTCGGCTCTACTACTGTTTGCAATTACTCGTCACGTCCCCATTTATGTAATTTAATGTGGATTAAACTTTGACCGAAACCATCATAGATTCAAATTTGGTCATTCAGTTGCCCCCTAATTTTATTTCCCGAGTTTAGCGGTTACAGTAACCACAGAATCTGCGCTAGCATCACCTTCCCCATACCAACAAGTAATCAAACCATCCAATGAAGGGAAATCGTCATAGCTTAGATTTCCTTGAAGTTACACAATCATTCTCATTCAAGTTGAAACGCTCAGATAATCAGACACGACTTACGCGCTTCTTTCGGATATTGCGAAGCTTTAACTGAAGCTTCTCAATTGTGGCCGGATCGGAGCATTCTCGCTCAAGTTGAAAAAGTTCCTCCTGCAATAGTAAAATAATGCAGCATTGCACTAGCTTAAAGCGAACTTGTTTCATCCAAGCAACACTGGGTACCTAGACAAAAGATTAAACACAATCGTTTGACTGTCGCGCAGTTTCGAGTAGGCATTGTTATGGAGTATAATAAAAGCGCAAGGAAGTTATTGTACGGTTGCCCAAAATCTATGGAGAACGAATCAAATGTGGATCGAAACCACTGACGCGAGACACCTAGAATTGATAGAAATAGCAAAAAGAACGTGATTACAAACAGAACACATTGTGTGTGAAGTTTAAATAGCCAGCCAGTAACCTGAGCCGGATACGGCAAGCTGAACATCCGCGTTTACTCAATAGGATTATTCGACAATCGGACAAACTTCGCATAAACGATCCCGAACCACCGTCAGTGTTTACGGTGGGGTTAAGAAACATTTAGAGATACGTCAGGTTCCACACGAGGTTCATCCTACGAGTGGAACTTGAGACGAATGTCATATTGTCTTTTGTTTGGTCATGGCAGGCAAAACTAACTGGAAGATAAGAAGAGTCTGGGTTGTCAAAGTAATCAGCTGCACGATTGCGGTTGAGGAATGCGTGGTCCTCAGGGTCACATGACCGGCCCGCTGCGCCTGCGTCATGAGCCTCATTAGAAAAGAAAAGCAGTGGTCGGTCTTATAGTGATCATTATAGAAGACTGCAAAATGTTGGTTAGTAACTATAGGCAAGCGGAAACTAAGTAATGCACAACGGCTTTTCAAAGGAATTTCAAAAACGATAAGTTGATAGGTCAGTAGAAGGGGGAATGACGAGACACTGCTTACAAGATAGTGGTACGACTACATGTTACTGCTTAACTAACCTTGAGGTTTGGGTCCGAACCTGTTCGGAGTTCTTTCAAAAGACAATCCCAACGTTTCAGTTTCGATCGGAAATCGGGAATCTTTGGATTGGTTTGTTGAAGACGTCTTGCACGAATACGAGGTTCGTTCTCCGCCAGCCATTGAATCAACGACGTCTCAATGGGGTCCCCTAGCGGGGCTGGGGGCAAAGGTGGCGGCGGAGAGGAAGGCACGCCGGTAGGTGGTTGCGATGTGGGAAAGTTAAGAGGCATTGGAGGAACACACCACATACGCGGGACCACGTTGAACCGTGGCCCCATAGGTGGAGGTGGTACGGAGAATGGTCGAAAGGGTGGCCCAGGTTCACCATACATGAAGCCAAAGAAGCTGCACGGTAAGTTAAACAAGTACATTTTCAGCAGGTATATTGACGAGCTTGCATGCAAGTTCCAAAACACTACTCACTATGACGTCCACAGAGCAGAAAAACGTGCTACACCCACTGACCCTGAAATGTATATTCTAAGCTTTACATGCGCACGCATAAGTGACTCGTCATGAGTCTGTCAGAGTCATGGACATTATTAATAGGTGCTGATAAAGGAGACTTTAGAATTTATTCTGCATTTGGTTGAAAAACTACGAAATTTTCAGCTTGACGCTGTCCAACCATGAAATTCATAACAAAAATTTACTGAGCAACCAATACGCACACAGAACCCGCTTTGCTTAATGACCAACTCCCAAATACGACCTAGTTCATTTTCCATTCCCTACTGTGAGAATCATCTCCACGAACATCTATGAAATAGTTCGCAGTTCCTGCTACAAAACTCCGGTATATCTACGTACAGATACGTAGACAGATGAAAGGAACGTGATTAAATTGTTGCCTTGTTAATATGTGCAACCTCATAACGTCCGAAAGTGGTGATAATTCAAAGGGATTAATTTACCGAACAAAAAGCAATATATGCACCTCCCACCGTCAGATCATATGCGTCATTAGGATGGTAGTTACGGTGCGTACGTTACCAGATGCTCAATGTTTACGTTGATTAAGACAGAAGAAGAAAATATTGAAAGATCGAGTTGAACCTGAGTTGACCGGAGACCTGGTGTTTCAATAGAAATCTTGAAATGACTCGATATATAGGTAAGATATCCTAAGGGGTATGCAGCTCCTTGTACTTCTTAACTTGACATCAGTTTCTCCAAAATTCTATCGAGACACCCTGTCGAAATGTTAAGGCGTCTTTATTTCAAGAAGTTTGTCTTTCTTTACACTAGGTGCCTTGAACACTTCGATGTGGGTCAGCATTTCGACGGATTCTACCGAAGCGATTACCCGTCCTCCTTGCAGCCGGCTCCCACGCTATTCCACGTGACCTTTATGGTCACCAGAGAAGGTTACTGAGGGAACAGCTTGATCTGCTACGTAAGTTACATTGACCTTTTGCGACAGCTGATGGAGGAGGACGCACAATATCACTCGAGCTTGGCTGAAGATCCGATCACCTCTGACAGTTCAAAATCAAATTAAGAAGCATGAATACTCAATACACGGTACCATTTTCCATCTAGTAAGTTGAATCTATGAGGAAGGAAGGTTCTCACATTGGAATATAGACTGAAATTCCTTCGAATGAGCTAGGATGGGAGGTACTCAAAGTTGAATAGAACTTAGGTAGTTTGCATGGCACCCATCAGTGAGTATGTTTCCTAAATATCAACCTATTTATTGCTACCAACGTTGTGACAGAATTTACCTCTTTCTCGGGAGTCAGAGCAGACAGGTATTGTAAACCACAGCCCCATTTCAGTAAGTTAACAGAGAGCCCAGTATAGTCGTACACATCAGTAGTATTTCCAGAATGCGAGCATCATTAGAGATGAGCTACTTGCATTTGTGCAGTTTTACGTTAGATGAAAACAATCAAGTTTGGCGGATTAGTTATTCCTGATAAAGATGGACGATCAGCTATACAGTGCTAGTTAAAGGGGGGAGAAATAGGAGATAAGTCGGAAGTGTATCAATTTTTAGTGAAAGTAGCGCCGGATTGCAATTGTTTGATGGATTCGGTTGATACGCGGAACCGGTAGATTACAAACAGTAAATTCGAAAACTAATGGATCGGAAAAAAATGAGCTCATAAAACGAGGAACAACAATAAATTGAGACGCAATGAAAATTTTCGATACCTAGTGAGCTGAAGACACGAAGCTCTAAAAAGGTGAAGATTGATAGCGGAAAGAAATTCTGTAGTCTAGCCGTCCGCAAAAAGAAGGGAGGAATGAATACCTGCTTGAAAACGAAAAAGACTGAAAACAGCATGACTGATGGGATGGTAAAATCAAACGAATGAAGACAGAACTCGTAAACTCTGAAGTACACCGATATGGTCGAAGCGGTGAAAAGACAGACATCTCATCTATGTGTAGGAAGCTGTAGGGTGCCGGTCGGCGACCGGTCATCAATATTCACGTTAAGTTAGGGGAGCGTCACCCCAAACCTCAATGTTTGGAGGATCTCAGCTTTGAAAAGCAGAGGGTGAAGGCGAGGTCGGAAAAGGGAGCCAGTTCTTTGGATTTCCCAAGCCGGTAATTTTGTGTGAACGGACCAGGAAAGGGCATTAGAGAAAGACACTCTAGGAAAGGAATGATAACTGAGTTGGGGAGCGATTACCATGGGGTAGCGACCGAGCAGAAATACGAAGAAAATTGGTTGTGTCCATGTTAAATCCTATCTCATTCTCTGATTCCCACCTTTAAGATCGACGGTGTCGGTGTCATGGCTGAGGTCCTCGCTATCACCACCTGGAATGACTCACTCCTGAAGCAGATGGGCTTCCTGAGTGACACAAAGTTCAAAGCCATCCATCGCCGGCCCTTCTTAGAAACTTTTTCGATTAGGGATTTGAAAACAGGAAATGTGTCACACCACGGAAAGCTATGAGTACTACTCCATCTACAGAGAACATCGTTTAAAAAAAACTTAACTTAGTCCACCGAAGTGTTTTGGATAATGCACTCCCTCCCAAAACAGAACACTTGTGGTCAGTCTCTTGGGGTAGTCGCTTCAAAGGTGAATAACTGCCTGTTGATTTACGCGTTCGCAACTAACAGTTCACTTGTTGCGTGAATCAACAATCAACCTACATACGACTAGATGCAGAAACCCTCGTCCAGTAGTCAGTGTTCTTGAACCACAGAGATGCTATTTATTTGTGAAAAGTGGGTGGTATCCTTCACAATCTGGCAAGTCCATACATACCGGTAATGACTGTGAGACCAAAACGAACGTTCGATGGCGCACCGTTTATCAGCTGCCGTTGACCTCAACTGATTAAAGAATCGAATCGACTCAAGCAGATTGCAACAACACAATACCATTGCGTGGGGTAAGACGCTGATTCACGTGACATCAAAATGGACTGCAAAATTACACTGCAGCGGGTAGAGCTTCGGGAAGCATAAAATCGATTTCACGGAAAGCTGGTCACACAGTAAGCTTCTTTACGTGCATAACTTACGGCAGCAGTTCCGACATTCCGGAAAGTAATTGGACAATGATGGGTAACTGAACAATAAATGGACCTGTGCCTTTATACAGAGTCCATAAGTTGGCTATTTCGAACTCGTACCATTGTAAGGTGGGGACCAGATGATGTCACTGAGGTGGAATGTGCGTCAGAAACAACATTGACCGTCTAAATCTTTCGAAACCTACCCATGCTAGTTGAACCGAAGATCCAAGAATTCATTGAAAATCTTCACAATGGGATCTCGAGGCAGCATGCGCCTTGCATGTTAGGCTGAAGATACCAATATTGAACCGGATAAGAGGAACTCCATCGAGTATCCAATCGCGATGATTTTATATGCCTGAGTCTAAAGATCTATCACGGTCAATCCTCGTAATGACCTAAATAACTGCACACAAGAAGCTTATCTCACGGAGGGACCCCTAAAATACGAAGACCAAAGATTTTACTACTTGGCATCTGACTTCTACACGGGGATGAGGGCGATTGGAGGAATCAAAACTTCTATATGCGACTTCACAAATCTGGTTGACTACTCCTGAGTTTGAAGTTGGTTCAACTGCACACGGTGAATAGCTGTGACGAGCTCGTGAACAGCGAATTTCCCTATACTGAAACCGTAAAGAGCGGATGGATCCAAACGATACGCATGCTTTCTATTCAGTTTTTATACAAACTTCCCTCAGTGAGCTTGCCGGCGAAAGTCTGTGACATCAAAAAGGATTTTATATCCCGGGATAAAATTGAGCCCCAATAACATTTAAACTATATCTTGAGAGGCAATGTATGTCCGTTCGTAGTTCTTTCGTAAGTGGCGGACGGCAGCTATGCCTTAATAGCTGCACACAAACGTCCATCTCTGCTCTCATACGCACAGTCACATTCCAGCCTTCTACTGACTGTCAGGTGTTGTCACCCAACCACTGGTTCGGACAACGCAACGGTTGATAGACCCTTTCCCACAGACGCACAACCATTCAGTCTAATTGTGGGCTACGGAGTTAGTTTCCGTGCACGATAGCCCATTCATGTTACAGTTCCTCATCTTTGAGGGTAGCCACTCCGGGAGGGAACGAAGATCGCTTGGTAACACTCAATTTAGCCGTAAATGCGTTCCTGACAAATGAAAAATCGACATGGAGGCAAACTGACCATGCACTGTGTGCTGCAATGCATAGCACACACGTTTTGCCCACATATGCTACACAACGGGCATATTTCGACAGTGCTCTTATCCTATGCATGGGCCACATTTGTTTCTCCTTGAGTAAGTTTTCATATCAAAACCGGTCTATAGTGAAGACACTCTACGGTCGCCTCCCATTTAGCAAGCCACATGTTCCTCGTATGCAGTAATGTTGGAGCTCAAAGGCACATTGGTAGGAATTTCTTCCGATTGTCTTAATCAGATAGTGTACTTGCTCTTTGACCGCCTACAGAAACTTTCAAGAACCCTTTCTTAAGTGACTTTCCTACCACACTCAATGGAAGATGTTCGGGGGGGGGGGGGGGGGGGAGGAGTGCGGAG